GGATAGAGGCGAAACATTTGACGTGGACATCACGCTGCTGTTTCGATCCTCCTGTTCCTGCAGTAAAACATCCATCAATTTCATGCGTAATCGCAGCTGTCTTTCTTCAGGCAAGCTCATCAGAAATTGATAGTCACTATCCTGCTTCATTTGAGAGCTCTTTTCGAAATAGCTCAACTTTTTAGATTCTATTTCGAAGAATTTGTCATCGTAATTAATTCTTTTCTTTCCTCTTTTTAGCGGACTTTTGAAATGCTCTTTTTGTGCCGGAGACGTATTTACAGGTGCATCATTCTCGATATCTGATTGAAAATCTGGAGTAGAAAATGCATCATTATATTCACTTTGTGTTGTAATATTATCAGTGCCTGTCTCAATACAGGCGTCCGCAATGTCAGGAACACTACTCGACAGATTTCTCGGTTGAACAGTATCAGTTCGTAGGTGGTGAACGCAGCTCTTCGTCCGAAAAATCCAAACCAATCTGGATATTTCGCAGTTCGCAAGTATACGCGCGTTCACGGACGAATAGTGCTGCTACCAATGGACGCACTCTAACCTGATGCAAGCTGTTAGGATCGTTCGTCCGTTTCCGTGCGTGTTCGGACGAACTCCTCATCGCAACTTTCCGCAGCTTTCCGCTTCCAGTGGACGAGAGGCCTAAAGTTTTCCTGCAGCATGGATAGAGATTCTCGAGTGGTATGGCTGGTCGCCCCATCCTGTTGATACCACTGTCTATTCATGTGAAGGCCCATTGCACAACAGAACCTTCTCAAATCCTGAAGAAATGGTCCGATCACCATGTCCCTGTAGCGTTCTCGGGTGACGGTAACAGCACTGCCTTCCTCATCCTCAATGAAATAGGGGCCTAATATACTGTGTGCTGAGACCGCACACAATATCGTCACACATGTACTATTTGGTGGTTTCTGGATGATAACATCTGGCCGCTCAAAACCAAGCAAGCGAGTTGTCTGGCAATTGATGTAGCCATCCAAGTCAATGTGACTTTCATTGGAGAACCACATACGTATTCCTCAAGAAATCTGGATCCTCATACAGCATGGCCGAAAATGTTCTACAATACACTATCCTGGCTCGCATATCTGACCCTGTCAAGCATTGTCCAACCTGTATCTGGTACGGAAATCCACCTGTCCTTAAACAATTGGTGAATGGACGTATCCTTGACGTTCAGTTTCAAGGCCGTTCATTGTAGACTTCGTCGGGGCGAATGCAGCACCTGCTGAAGAACATGTGCATGATTCACTTTTGTCAAAACAGTTATTGGCCAACCAGACTTCCCCTTCCGCTGACACAGTACACTACCAGAACAGTGAAATTTCGTAACAATAGAAGCATAATTGTGTTACTTGGTGCTGTCTTATTAAATCTCTCTTGGAATTGTTCTGTAACTTTTTTCAAACTTGGTCCCCCATCACGACCACTTCCATATGAGCGGAAATAATACTCAACCATCAATACTTTTTCTTCCGTCGAGAGACCCATTTCCAACAACTCCACAACATAACTTCCTTTTCACTAATGGAAACACATGTGGCTGGAGCTATGCCTTGTCGACAAATGCACATGTGCGTTCAAGATGTGTGAGTTTCAGTACTGATATTTTGGCGCATACTGTATTTTAAAAACTGAGATGGTGTATATACATTTCCATTAAACAACAACTGTTAACACATTGAATGAAGGTTACCTATGATGAATGCCATTGAGATCTCTTTTACATTAACGTGAGAAGGAAGTGTATCTTACATTAGATTACTTTAACTGCAATTTGTATAAAGGATTGCCCTCTGCACTATAGGAACTTCTATTTAATGTGCTGAAATCCCCCATTTAATATTCACAAATTTCAGTTTTCCCTATCACTATCAATGAACCCAAGTTCATAGATAGTAAGATAGACCAAATGAGGTTAATGGGAAACTGCTAGCCATAAATAAGTTCAGAGGAATAACTGCAAGTACAGTTGGGGCAAAAAGTTAAGGGAAAATGGCTGCGCCTAGTTATGAATTACTCATTATGATGAAAGAGCAGAAAAAAGCCCAAATTTGATGCGATGGTTTTCCATACATGCAACATTAAGAAACTGATGGTTCCAGTAGTTTCTGTTGCTGTAAGCCATAGCCACTGTACCCCGGTTTTACTGCATTTACTTTAGGAAACGCACATCATTGGATATAATGTATGGCATACTAGCCATGAAGCTAGACACCTTCTTGGCAGATAACAGCTAATATTCCAGCTAACAGGCTGTTGATATGGCAGTCAGGTGATTCAGCCATTTGAGAAGAACTTTGTAGTTCTTAGTTTCATGGCTAGAGGCCATTAAGTGCTAGTTACAGCCATATATACAGTGTATATGAATTTTAAAATTCGTCAAAGCATGGTGAATTAATGAATAATCAGGCTAAGAAGTACTTACAACTGTAGTAATTGTCATTTCAGGCAAATTTTGATAGTTATCATTAATATCAAAACTGTTAATACAAGCTAATAAAACACTGTCCACAACTGACCTACAGCAACTAAGAAGTACTGTAACATTAGATAGAAAATAACAGCAATTCTGTCCTCGATTTGTATCTAAATGCTTAACTGTTTTGGACTGGAGGAAAGCACACTGTGGATTATGGCTGAATATGCAGATAGCAAATAAATAAGTTTTGTTTGCCTTAAAATATTCCACAGAAAGAGTGAGAGAGAAAAACAGCCTTATATATATATTAACATCTGAAGGTAAAAAGAGTGGCCTATACACAGTGGAACTGATATTTAAGCTTTCTTAATAAAGCAATGGATTTTAACATTAAAATGGAAAAATGTTACATGGAGGAAATTTAATACTAGAATTACTGACTTGGGAACACTGAAATTGAACATTAAATGTGAGTTTCACTGTATCAGGGATACTTAAATTCTGACAGTTGGTTTAATTTATACATTCTAGTGGGGACTGGAGATTCTACCTGTAACTGAGATCACAACAAGTGGATCCATCATAGGAATGATGGTGACTAGATCTCTCATCAAGAAATTTCCAGCAGGATGAACCTGATCAGATCGCAGAGTCCCAGAATTTAACAGAACTAGGTCTGCTCCAGTTGCTGCCAGGATGACATCGCACACCCAGTTACCCAGATTTGTTTCTTCTGTGCGTACACTTTGAAATCGTCCATCAAGAGGCACCGAAAATGCACCTAAAACTTCATCCATCTTCCCTTCCATCACACCTGAGAAAAATATTATCAACTGTAACTTAAGAAGTATATTACATTATCTCTTAACCTTCCAGCCCAATATTATGACTTTCATCAGAGTTGCCATAACAGTGATTTAAAAAAACTGTCCCGAATATTATCATGTGCAGAGGATTGCAGAAGATTCTGTAACTACCAAAGTGGTTTCTACCCCTGGCACAGGTACCATGTCACATAAAATTCAGGTTACTCATATTAGTATATACATCAAGTGTCCAGAAAGACTCCAGGGTTTTACGTTACACTTTTTTAAACACTACATATATTAATAAAAACTGAGATGATGGTTAATTCAAAAAGTTTGTGCCAGTTGTAAAGTAATGTGTTCCTTTGTGTTGAATATTCATGTATAGTGAGGTCTACTTCATGACACAGGCATAGGAATAGGGTATGCAGATCCATCTACACACCAAACTGGATCCAGTTTTAGTTGCAGTTTGATAACCATGTATATATAACACCACCTGAGAATAATCAATACATCAAAACATGTCATGGTAGGAGTAACAATAATATTAACATTGTGACACAATGGCTGCAAACTGGAATAATGGAAACAGAAGAAACTGTCCACTGTTAGGTAACAGCTCATTAAACATGTATTGCAGCAAAGCATAGGTTTGCAACAATGGAGGAGCTGATGGGGGCCATGTTTTCTGTGCTGTCTGCCCCAAATCTAAATAATGAGGTTTAACAGAACATACAAAAGCAGAGGAATATCCATTGTTAGGAATCGTTATCAAGCAATTATTAGTGAAGACATGGAAGACTTTATGTCTGTTACAGTGATCTGTAGAGTGTGTAGATTTGTGAAATGGTTACTGTTACCTGTAGCTATGAGTTATATGAGGGTCGTACTGAAAGTCATGAGCAACATTTTTTTGTAAAGTAACATGTTTTATTATTGACAAACCAAATACACCACCTCAATCTACAGACCTTTCTTTATTTTTCCACATAATTGCCACTTCTTTGTACACATTTCTCCCAGCGTTCTGGGAGTTTGAAAATTCCCTTCCAGCCATCCAAAGACACTGACACACTGCTTTCTGAATTGCCTCCCTTGTCTCAAAACGTTGTCCGTGCAGCTGATGCTTCACAAATCCGAAAAGATGGTAGTCGGAGGGTGCCAGATCAGGGCTGTAGGAGGGGTGTGGAAGAACTTCCCACCCTATCTTTGCAATTGCTTCCAATGTGAGGTGAGTGGCGTGGTGGCGAGCGTTGTCATGCAGGATGATGATGTTTCGTCCTGGACGTTTATCGCGCAATGAATGACGGAACTTGTGCAGCATCTGGACATAATGAGCAGCATTGATGGTTTGCCCAGGTTCCAGCAATTCGGCCAGAATAAATCCCTCTGCATCCCTCCCAGAAGACTGTGCCCATCACCTTCCCTGCTGATGGCACTCTCCTTGCCTTCTTTTTTGATGGAGAATGCAAATGGTGCCATTCCATACTCTGCTGTTTCGTTTCAGGCTCAAAATGGTGAAACAAGATTTTGTCACCTGTCACAATACAGAGCAAAAAATCACTGCCTTCGTGTCAATATCTCTGCAGCAGTTCTGAGGTGATGGCTTTTCGCTGACCTTTGTGGTCTTCGGTCAATAACCGCGGGACCCAACGAGCACAAACTTTCCTATAGCCCAAGCTTTCAATCATCTCCTGTACTGCACTGTGCCCTATTCCAAGTTTTCGGGCTATTGTGTCCAGTCACACTCCCGTCATCTTGAATGATCTCATCCACTCTTTCCTTGTTGCATTCAGGTGAGGCTGTTCGAGGACGACCGCTCCGAGGCTCATCTTCGATGCTGGTGTTCCATCTTTAAAATGTTCCACCCATCTTCGAACACTACTCGCACCAATGCACACACTTCCATAAGCACGTTGAAGTCTCTGGTGAATTTCCGCAGCAGGGATTTCCTCTTTCACAAGAAATTCAATGACAGCACACTGGTGAAATGACACATCGTTGATGGCCATTTTGTTAGGAGTGATACTGGTCACGTGATGCAAGCTATTGATGTCACAACACACTCAAGGTTAACACAACAGCTGGTTCCACCTACCACGGTACTCTCTTTCATCTGCTGTTCCCAGGTTGCATGCAAAAAAAAGTTGCTCATGACTTTCAGTATGACCTACGTAGTTGTTCAATAAATCCAATTACCAATCCAAACCCCATGTCTAGGGACTAAGCTCGAACTCTTCAGAAAGCTTAGTAATAATCAGTGATGAGTTAGCTACAAGCCAGCTTCCATCCAGCTAGGACATGAACATAGAAGCAGAGGAATATCCACTGCTAGGAGATACTACCAAGCACTGAATAGTGAAAACACAAAAGACCTTCTGTATGCTGCAGTTACAGTGACCTGCTGCATGTGCAGATCCGTGAATCGTTTATAATCATCTGTAGTCATGAATTATAAGTGCTACATTATTAACCTATATCCCTTATTTTGAAAACATAAAAGTAGAATATATGAATATGAGCATTGACACAACCCACAAACAAACCAATCACATATTATGTGACACAATACCAAGCATATATACTGTATAACTGCCAATTAGAACATTAATCAGATCATGAAATGCTGTCACAAGTGTAATACTACATCAAGAGGGGGAACTTTTCATGGCCATTATATTAGAATCATGTTGGTAAAGTTAAAAAATTTACTTAACTCAACACACAATTTATAATATGTTTAGAACATTCTTTCTCATTCCATATTGCAGGCAATTCCAACTAATATTACCATATGGGAATTGCGAGTACATTGCTTGAATATTAGCAATAGCTACAAAACAGCAGGCTAATAAGAAGCCCCCTTCAATACTTCAGCACACGTCTCAATACAACACCCCTGACATGCCAAGACCAGCCAGCAGGATGGTTATCTAAATCACTGCATAATCTAAAGACCCTACAGTCAAAAAGTGCCATGAACTTTGGACTTTTTAACTACTGACAGTTATATATACTTGTCAGACTAACATTTTTATAAAATAGTATTAAGATTTTTTTTTTAATTTATAATTAACTTCGCCATTTTACATTAGGTTCAACACATGATAAAAACTTGCAGTCATTCTATTAAAATACTTACACCAGTTGCACAATATGCATCTGTATTTAGACAACTAATTTTAATATAGAGGGTGTTTCACGACTTTAGGGCATAACTGCAGGAGGTGATTTCCTAGGTCTTTGTGATCAAAAAAGTTCATATAAACATGTGTCCGATTTTGGACAGTTACGGAGTTATGACTGTTTTTTTATTCCCGTACATGCCCTCGTATGAACCGCGTCTGTCAGCTGGCAGGTCCCTATTTTTAGCCAGCTAGAGACAGAGCATTCCCGTTATCTCGACACTTGAGAGCTACCTAAGGCGGGGGGGGGGTCCAGCGCGGTTTACAACCAAGCGGCAGCCTGTGTTGCAGCCAGCGGCAACATTTTAAAAAATCAGCTTTAACAACAATCAATTCAAATTAAAGGTAATTTCATGAAGTTAATTTTACATTCATACTTTATATGTATCATGTATTATGCTGGTTTCTTATTTTGTTCCGTTTATTGTCAGTAATCGTTACCTTCTATTCTGAGTTTAAAACGGTCATAACTCCGTAACCATCCAAAATCGGACACATGTTTATATGAACTTTTTTGATCACAAAGACCTAGGAAATCACCTCCTGCAGTTATGCCCTAAAGACGTGAAACACCCTGTATAACATACCTTCATTTACAGTTCATATATGAATGCCTGATGATGGCCCATATATAGGTTGAAACATGTTGCATAAAATCTATGCATACATAAATGAATATATTTACTATTAACAATGTTATATTTTAGCGTCCTGTTGCACTGATTTAAGTCCATGATTTATTTTATCCGTCTTCTAGTGCATACATTCAAGTGAGAAGAGAGAAGAGAAGAGGGGCAGATGAATGTATGCACTAGAAGACGGATAAAATAAATCATGAATATGTTTGTCTTTGTCTGAAAATGATTTCTTTCATTTATTGTGTCGATGGTCATATTCATAGATTCTAAATGTATGTCCATGATTTATTTTATCCGTCTTCTAGTGCATACATTCCTCTATCCCCTCTTCTCACTCGCACTACATGTTTCAGCACAAATGTGCCATCTTCAGGTGCTGATCCAATCCACGACAAACTAGTTCATGCATGCCTTGTCTATACATACTAAAATAACTAAAATATATATTTATCATATATACTGATAAATGTTAAGTGTTAAAATATTAAAATTGTACAGCATATTACATTCTTACATCGTGTTTCATTACGCGAGTCACGTCTATCATCTTCTATTGGAGCACTCTTTCACTATCGTGTATTGTGCTCTATGTTGCGTCTCACTCCTGTGACTGCGTGTGATATACTGTGTTATGATTTTAACACTCAACATTTATCAATATATATGATAAATATATATTTTAGTTATTTTAGTATGTATAGACAAGGCATGCAATGAACTAGTTTGTCGTGGATTGGATCAGCACCTGAAGATGGCACATTTGTGCTGAAACATGTAGTGCAAGTGAGAAGAGGGGATAGAGGAATGTATGCACTAGAAGACGGATAAAATAAATCATGGACTTAAATCAGTGCAACAGGACGCTAAAATATAACATTATTCTACATGTATATTCATATACACAACAGGATACACTCATAAAGTAAATGAAAGGCTTGTGAGAGCACCTTGCTGTCTGTGTATCCCACAGACCCACTGTTGCTAAGCAATGGCTCGCTAAACACGTTCACGTGGCAATAATTACACACACAATAGAAGAATTGTTGGTTGCATCATTTTCTATGTGGTCCACGTTGTACTAAAGGAAAGTAGTCTAGTTCCATGAACAACTTCTTGTTTTATCAACTGTATTAAATTTACTCATATAATCAACTGTTTTGTATAGAGAGTTCTCCATACCTT